GTGAGGGCGAGAGTGTGTGTGTGTGTGTGTGTGTGTGTGTGTGTGTGTGTGTGTGTGTGTGTGTGTGTCATACACTCCCCTTCGCCTGAGCACCACCCCAAAGTGCCTGGTTCTAATAAAAACAGGCCTCTTGTGTCTGATCCCGCACCCCTCCTCTGTTCCTCAGCTCCACACAACCCAACGGTTCAAACTGAGACTAAACACAATCCTGAAGGAACTGACAGATAATAAAAGAGGAAGAGAGAGAACAAAGCAAGAACCAGAAAATGTTAATAGAACTCATCTGACATATGAAAAAGATTTGCAAATCTATTAAAGTTTAATCAAGGGTTTGGCAGCCATTGAAATCTTTCATGTGTGTATGTATTATATATATATATATATTTGGTATTTTTGCTAGGGGTGGGAAGAATAATGTATTAATTTCTGCAATTAATATTTGTTGTGTAATGCTTCAAAATGAATTACCGTCATTGATGTCTTATCCCTCATCCGTTGGCTAGCGTTACAGTAAATGATCACACTCTCTGAACTGACAGAGCTGCTGACAGTTAATAAATGATAAATGAAAGCAATCATACAATTTGCAGTTTAGCCCCGGCATTCAGTTATAAAATATATATTTAAGAAACATGCATCTAATTTTCCTCATTCCAACAGTTGGTTTAGTCCTGAACTGAAGTAAAGGATCTAGAAGGAGCTGAGACATCTGTCAGCTCAAATCCAGAAATGCTTCAGGTCATTGTGAATGCAGAGATAAGAGACAGAGATAAACTGACCCCTCGTAGGGGAATTCAGCAGCGCTGTGAGTCAGTGACCAGCGGCTCCGTTCACTCTGTTTACTGACTCCGCTCTGAATCACAGAGTCCTGACTCACGTGTGACTCCTCACTCCAGAATGAATCCCTTCACCATTATCAGGAAGAGCAACTTCTCCCTTCAGCTTTGAGCGTTATGACACATCTGCTCTTTCTCACCTCAGCACTGAGCCATTCATGAGTCAGTTCTTTCATTCACTACATTAGGATGAACATTATAACTATGTGTGTACAGACGTTTGAAGTTTGTGTTGACGGGAGTTTTTTTAGTGCTGCCTGAGGGAATGTGAGGAAAACAGAAAAGAGGAGACACGTGTGTCTAGTCGTAAATGTCTTGTAGTTTCTACATACAATTATAAATCATATATTACAATTCCCCACCTCTGTTATTTTATTCAATTTGCTTACTGTAAAGTGAAAAAAATAATAATTATGGTGTACTGTACAATAATGAAAACTGATGTACAGTATACTTACAATTATACTTTTCATTTGAAAATATATACTATTGTTTGTTTTTCACTTTACATTAATGAGAATTGAGAAGTAAGATAACTTATGCCAGAATTATTTATTTAGCATTGTTTAAAGAAATGATATTTTTATTCTTAATTTGACCCTAGACATTTCTAGAGAGTTTCTCTGAGATTCACACTTTGTATTTGGTCGTTTGTTGTTTTATTTCTGGCTTAAACTTGTGTGCAACCTGAATTCTATGGAGTTTTCGTAATCATTTTCAGTCACGCCAATAAAGCTTCCCTTTCATGGGAACTTCGAACTGCGTCCTCTAGGGGTCGCTATGGGGAACGTCTCATCGTGACCCGTGTCTGAAGCATACATTGAAAAAACACCAACTCGTTGGCCGGCGACAGCCATGACGTCACTACCGGTGCGACTATAGTATAAATAGGCGCCGGGAGCACACATCATTCTCTTCTTCGTCTTCATTGACTGTTTTGTTTGAAGCGTGCATTTCTGTGGTAAGAGCGATCTCTATTTATCTCATTATGGCGAGCACTAGCAAAGCGTTTAAGGATGTGTGCATCCGTGTTGACATTGTTTAACATCTGATGACACACACGATCTATGCGTTATTTGTTTGGGCGAAGAGCACGCACGCGATGCCTCCGAGGGGGCAATAGGCGAGCACTGCGAGCGTTTTTTCCAAGGGAAAAAGCTCCGCTCTCGTTTGTCTCTCTTTTCGAGGAAAGAGGG